CATCTGGGACCTCCCCTGTTAACCAGGACTGCTGAAAGATGATGGAAAGTGGCTTGGCAAGCTCCTCTGCCAGCATCCTCAATAGTCTCAGGTGGATCCCATCTGGCCCCATAGACTTGTGAGTGTCCAGGTAGTGTAACAGGTCATTGACTGCTTCCTTCTGGATGATGAGGCAGGTCCAAGATCAGGTTGAAAAGTCAAGCTGCAGGTCAGGGTTACATTCAGTGACAGTTACTAGAGTCATACGCAGTTCAGTGATTGCTAGGCAGGTCCACAGTGATATAGAAGGCCCAAGGAGTAGTGTAGGTCTAAGAGTGTAGCTCAAAGAAGGTTTGAAGGCCCTGGGCTGAGCTTAAATGGGGCTCTTGGCCCCCCCCAGGCAGCAGGTGTGGGTGGAGATTCCAGGTGTAGCTTGTCAAGACCATTAAGGCCTATTAGTGCACTCAGAGCCCTGACAGTTGCAGACAGGCAAGGAAATGTAGGTAGCTGGTGTGACTGAAGAGCAAGGAGGTTTCTTCTCAGTCAGCACCTGATGGGTGTGTATGAGCTCTAGTGCTGACCTGAGGGAGGGGTGTAGGCAGGGGAAGGGGAGAATGTTGCACTGCTCAGACCAGACTTACATCAGCCTAAGATGCCACAGAGCTGCACTTGAAGAAGTCAGGTAACTAGGCAGTAACAGGTGAAAAAGGACATCAAAAAGTGTACATGCTTTGACAGAAAAAATGTGACCTCATCTTTCAAGAGCACTATCCTCAAAGTTTATGCCTACCAGTTTGCAGGAGGAAAAATAAACCTCTCTAGATTGAAGGCTAAAGGTAACCCTGTATGCCATTTTATCTAGTCTTCAGTCTCATTCTGAAATCTTTAAACAGTGCAAAAGCCATAAGCATCATCTGACATCTGATGCCTGAGTGACTTCAGCTCATATTATTGGAACAGTCAGTATGCATTTGGTTGGGTATGTGATTTTTGTGGAGCTCATACAAGGTAGTATTAGACTTTGCACATGTGTTTGTGGTATATAAGAGCATTTTCCAGAGTCACCACTCAAGCAATTTCCAAATGAAGTCTGTAAATGAAACATCCATGTTGCAGCCCTCTCCCATAAGCAGCTCATTTCTGAATTTGAGAAGTGCTGTCACTTGTTTGGGTCTGCATAAGAGCCTAAAGCAGAAGCTCATAAATCATCTTTTCTACTGTGCCACTGAAAATCCTGTACCTCCATGACCTCCCATTGCCTATCTATAACCCCATCCCATAAGCAGTGGGATGCTTCTTCATACACCTATGAAGAAAAACACATTCTGGGGAGAGGAGTGCCATCCTGTGAAACAGGTAAGAACTATGCTTGTACAGGAAAGCCCAGATTCTGGTGAATGAGCCATGAGTTGGAAAAAAAGGTCAGGCAGACTCTTGCACTGCATGAAGTTTCACTAGTCCCCAAAGCCCAGTCAAGCTGCACACCTTGTTGGGAGGGATGGGTCTGGGTGACCATGCAATTGTTTCAAATGTTACAGGAACATACGGCAAGAAGTGCTAAAGCCCTCTCCACATCTTCAGCAAGATTCCTGCAAGAAAGGGCCAAATTTTGCTTCTAGCTGTGTCTACCAATATTTTAAAGAGAGATAATTACTCATAGATACAATTGGGAACTGCCTACTTATACTAGAAAAACATTGCTGTTACAGGAACGCGCATAGTGCTTCTGGACATAAGGGCAAGGGGTGAGGTTTATTATATCAACATTGTGACTGCCAAGAGCCTTCTCATTCCAGTTGTCCTATATTACTGAAGTGCACTGAGTGCAAGGTTTTGCTGGAACAACAAAAAATGCAGGTGGGGATGAATGTCACATCCCTGAGTCATGCAGATGCTAAAGCTTTTTCATGTAATTTCTGGCCCTCCTGATGAGGGCAGAATTTGACACCTTGCCCTCACATTCTGTTTCTACAAAAACTAAGATGGAAACAGAAAATAAGTGGCTTGTTACTTCCTCTCAATGTCTGTGGGACTGTGGTGCCAAAAACACTGATGCAAAAGGAAACCATTTTCATCAGTTGTTAAAACAGCAGAAGTTTGTTTTACTTTGGCTGCAACATCCTTCTGACTCCCACGCAGGAAGTATTCGTGCAATATTCCACATAGGCAGAATATGTCCAGTTCCTAGAAGTCTAAATACAAGAAACTGTAGCCCATTTTAGAAACTACGCTGATCTTGGATTATAAAAGTGAGATGTAGTCCGCTTTCTTGTGTAACTCTGGGCTACCATTCCTGAGTTCTTTTCTTTCTTTTGTCCCTAGACTTTCAAACGATCTCTGGCAAAAGACATCCTTCCAGTGTGTGCCTCAGCTGTAAAACAAGGCCAATGACCAAGGGGTGAAAGACTAGGTGTTATTGTTATTTCATGGACAACATCCTACACATAATAAAGGTACCTCTGAAGGGGGAAATTCATTACTACTGGTTTCTAAGTGCACCTAGGTAAATTTTACTATGAGAAAGATAGCCACTATTCCACTACTTCCATTCTTTTGCACGAAAGCAAATGAGTCAAGTGGCTTATGAAACTGGCTACATCACTGAGACAGAGAGGGCATATTTCATAGTCATAAAAGCTTAAGATTGTTTTATTAACACTTTCATTGCTAGCATCTGTGAAATGGAACAGAATTCTATTTACCAAATCCTCTTGCTGGTGCAATAAGTTAGAGGATTTCTCAATTAACACATGGAGCTTATGTATAAAAGACAAGAGGTTAAGCAACACTGCCCAATGGACCATCTGGTGAACATTAGGATTGTCAATAAATCACAAAAACACCAGTTCATCAAGAAAATTCCATTTCAAACCACTGACAGAAAAAAAAAAAAAAGGATGGGAAAAAACTCACAAAATTGGTATGTTCATCTTTTATAAAAACAGGAGCATTAAATAACTAATCTAATTTCAATTGTTTTATTGGTTCTCTTCTGATGACCACATGGCTTCACATACTGAATGTTTAGCCCTTTGTCTTGCACACAAAAGCATTATGAAATAACTTGGTGCATCATCACAGGAGAAGCTCATCTCTTTCCTCTTAGTCTTTCTCCTCACCATGGGTGATAACATAACAGAGGTTCTTGTAGTCAAGATTACCAGAGACATCTGGAGGGAAAGCAGCAAACATCTGGTTGATCTGCCAAGCACAGAGGAGATAAGTGTTACAAACGTAGGACTGTGAAACAGCAACATGTACTGTTTTTCATTTTCAACCCAGTTAAGCCTTCTGCCTTGATCCATTAACCACTATGGAAAATTTTTCCTTAGCTTCGGGAAAATTCAAACAGGAATTAGGACAGAGCTAGTTAATACAGTCCTGCTATAACCCCAGCAAGTTCCCTGTCGAAAAGAGCTCTCCCAAAATCCAGGTAAGCCCTGGCCAAATAATGTCTACAGTCTGCACTCCAGTCTGTTCTTGCCACGAACCAACTCCACTCAATCTCCTCTTCTGAAAATAAAGTCCCTCTAAATTCCTCCCAGCCAGCAGAATCCGTGTTCAGTCTCACACAAACCACAAAGTCAGTACCTCATTTCAGAACTCTCTTCAGATTTCAGACAAAATAACTCTCACAGAAATGGAAACCAGATCACAGTCCCCACCCAAACCCACTTGAACTCTAGTAAATTCATTGCCCAGCTCACTATAGGAAAGAACAGCAAGAGATAGGCCACGCTTACATTTGGATGGAAGTCCAAAGAATCTGTTTGACTTTGATTTAGCCATGGAGCTATTCAAAAGAGAAGCTTTGAATTGTTTCTAATTGCTAGAGCTGGCATCAGCCTTCTCTCAGTCTGGATTTGAGCTGAATTCATGCATTTAAAGAGGGGCAAATACTTATTGCTGAATAGTAGCTGGAGATAGATTCCTATTTTGAATAAAGCAGAAGGTCCTTACCTCTTCTTGACTGAACCGGTCTGCCTGTGTCATAAGCATTTCTTTGATGCTGTTGAAATAAAATGAAATAACCTGATTAAAGGGTGATAATGGCACATGACAATTCAGATGGCAAGATCCCTCCTGAAGTCGCATGAAAGAAAATCTGTATGACCGCATAAATTAGAGCTGTTAATCCCTACATGATATTGTAAGAGATTTTCTGTGGGCACCCATCAGTGTCAATGCCTCGCTCTGCCAACTTATTTTGCTTCTGTGACATTTTATAGAGGTTTAAAATTGTTTAAGGTTATTACTCTAATTGAAATACAGCAATTTTTTATGCTTATCTTAACCTAAAATGGTAGGTTTTCTCACTTGCTGTTTAAAGTTTGGATCACTTAACAAAATCGAAAGAGAGAATATTTTCTGTAAAATCTGAGGATGAAAGGAACAGAGCATGAAATGAGAAAGAGGACTTGAAAGAGAACTCCAACAGCTATTCCGAATCATCATCTGAGAATCCCTTTATTTGCATGCAGTCATTCCCAGAGGAGACTGTGAAACTGCATGAGACCTGTTGTATTTCACGGTACAATGTCTTGATCTGGAGTTACAGCACTGTAACAAGGAGCTTATCCCACACACAATCTGCATCTTATGCAATTAGATCAAAGAGAATATTTTTGGGACAGACCCTCAGCTGATTTACCCTCTGTTTGCAAACCCATTGTGGGAAGTCACATGTGGAGCATGTAATTTTTTTACCTAAGTTTATAGGTGAACAGAAAAGCCAGGAAGAATAATTACTGTTTCTAGTCTAACCCCTTTAGATAAAATGTCTTATATTTCACCCAGTTGCTCAAGTGCTGAGGGCAGTACATGCACAATATGCTAGAATGTCCACCAGTATGAACTCAGTTATATCACATAAACATCCCTTTCACTTGCACTAATAATTTCCCCTTCCTGTAGAAGAATTCCTATATTAATCTCAAAGAGTTTGCATTCACACTGAAGAGGCAGAGTTGTCTCCTTTTGTTACTACCAAAGGTGTTTATACATTTTCAGCATTTTCTCTAGATCAGTAAAACAGACTATAAACCTGTGATAACAGATGAGCAGTCTGTTGTACAAAACCAAAAGCTTAAACAAGTATAGAAATCTGTTTGTAGACTTGGAAAAAGTCTGCTTTTTTGAAGAATTTGTTGGGGGGGAGTGAGAGTAATAGCTTTTCTGGAAACAGCCCTTTCTGCTTTTTAAAGTGAATGTTTAAAAGTAACTATTCATAATAGAAATCATGCCTGCACAGGAACACTTCCATATGAGCAAAATTCACCTACTGTGGATGCAGATGTTCAGGCAAAATAGTAAAGCTTCCCTTTCTGCTCCCATACACCATGCATCTCGAGTGAAAAAAGTCACACAGATACAAGTGTAGTTTTGATGGCAAAGCTACAACTGTATTTCCTCATATCTCTGACACACACATTTTTTTCTAGTAAAAGGCTACAACAAAGACATATCCCAATTTGCATAAGAGGCATATACACTTCTGAATCTCTTGTTGATGTGAAGTGCTCATTTGGAAGGACAGAAAGGGAAAACTGAAAAAAAGAAGTTTCTGGGTAATGAATAAGGATCTCACCCACAAGGACAAGAGTGAAAATATCCATGCAAGTTTTGGGAAATACTCTGAAGTCACAGACAGAGCTTAAGCTGTTGTATGTATTTTTCCTGCATTACTTTACCATTCTCTTTACTTAGCAAAATCTTTCTTCATCTCTTTCTCTCATATTGCTGTTTCTGTTTTGTTATCCTGGACATTTGTTATGTGACTGCGTTTTTTGAGGTGGAATTCTCAAATGATCAGTGGGTGCAGGAGCAGAGAGATCACTCTCATCAGCATAAATTGATTATTGGATATATGTGCACTGGGGCAAACAGCATTAGCAAATGTATATAGGAAGTGTGATACAGGAAGGAGCTTGGTGAATAGAAGGAAGCACTTACAGCAATTTTGTCAGAAGTCACAAATAAACTTCATCACAAACAGAACTGAATTTAAAAGAGTACTATGTGTCTTCTATTCACATGCTTAAAGTATTTAGGGGAAAAGAAAAGATCAAATATCTAATTATAATCTTCTGATGCACAGCCTGGTAGGCTCTGGCACACTTATAAGGAAGAAGGACTGAGTTAAGGATCTATGCACATTTTCCATTATTTATTTTATAGAGAAATGAACACTCACAATTTCCAAAGCTACGGATTATGCACTTTTTTCTTTGTGTATCTTGTTTTCTTTTTTAAAGGCTATTTGCTTCTCAAAAAAAAAAAAAAAAGAAAAAAAAAGAAATCAAAGTCTTCTGGGCAAAAAAGAATATCCGTTTGCCTTGATGTAGGAGTCTAAATACTATCTATTGTCCTGGCTGACAGCAGTTCCTTCTACAGTTACAAATACTTTGTTGCATTCTTATATTTTCAAAACCTTTTTAAAAATTATCTGTGAAATCTCTGGGACATTTTGGTTTTCTACTGGGTTTGCCCTTTCTACAGTGCTGTCTTGGAGAAAAACAGGTGTGTTGAAAGGAGCAGTGCTCTACAACTATGATGAGAAACATCACTAGCTCAGCCAAACTAATCTCCAAAGGTCCAGTATGCATGTAGACTCCCTGGATCCATTTTCATCTGGTACAAATCTGAAAAGTTTTGTTGGCATCAGCATTAGACGCAGTTGATGTTGGCCTGACTCACTTTGTCCAATGAATGGCATTTAGGACTGAATCATCTAACCTTTCCAAACGCTATGCCAGTTTACACCAGCCGAGAATCTGACCTAAAGCATTTTCTGTTTTTGACATCATGCTATAGGAAGGATTTTATGTGTGGTATAACGATGCAGACAAACAAAATCTGTCACTGAATTTGGAAGTAAGTTACAAACCCCTGGAACTTCTGGAAAGGTTAGAAGACTCTATCCCAGCTACCATCAGATGGACTAAGTGAGTCATTTCCAGACTAGAGGTGAAAACACGCAGAGGGAAGAGACATAAAAATCCCCAGAAGGATGTTAACTCCATGAACATAAAAAGAAGTTCTGATTAAAAGGTCAACATGGCTGGTTTTGGAGAGAAACATTCCACGATTTTTTAATATGGAGAAGTATTATTTATTAACATTAACTGTCATATTGAAAGGGCTGTATGAGCCAACATAAAAATTATTTCAAAACCTTCAAATGTCTAAATTTTGGAAGCATATGAATAGAAGTTAAACCTCAAAGACATTCATGGAATTGATTTAATGGTTTGTTCTGTAATGATCAACGTTACCCTCGGGTCTAATAAGTAAACATTATGCTCTGTTGTGGTGATGAACTAAAACAATTGTCTAATGTTAGCAGTGCAGTGGGGGTGGGGACAAGGTTGACCTTTTCCATCAAGGAAAAATAAAAGTATTTCTCTCTCATCTTCATTTTGGAGTATGATACTGCATTCCTAATTTTCTCCAAACTCCAAGTGGCTTCCAGCATCCAAGGAATGTAGAACTGGACACAGGGTGGCAAGCTGCAGATTTTGTGTGCAGTATATTGTTACAGATAGTGGTGGGAAATATAACATTTCATGGGTTTTGTATTATCAGAAGGTTGTATTTCATGGTTGTGATTTTGCTACTATGTGATCTGGCCTATTTGGCAACAGGCTACATTTTATTCTGATTGTTTGAGTCACTTCTGATGTGTTTCTCTGACTGTTTGGATAATTTTAACCCCAAAACAATCAGGATGACTGTTAACCATCTGTTCCTTCTGATTGTTTGCTACATCCACTTGCTGTGTTTTAATTAATTCGGAAGTTCTTTAATGAAAACACTGTCTCTTTGCTTTTATTTTGCATAGTGCATACCATAATAGGACTCTGATACCCACTGGGTTACTGTCATAGAAAAGCATATTAGTAATGGAAAGAAATATTGTACATGAATTTTGTATTTTCAACTTTCATGAGACATCGATAATTGCAGATAATGTCATGGAAAACTCCACTTTAGAGGTTCAGGTAAGAGGTTTAGTTTTCATTTACCTTATCACAACATTGGCAGAATTAATTGATGCAAATACAGTTTTGTAACTCATGGTTCTCTAATAAATTTCCTATACATACTATGCTTTATAAAATCTACCTGAAATGGCTGCTGCAGTAGAAGTATAGACTCCAAATTCACCAAGGAATTTAAACATATGCCTAAATCTAGGCATTTCACTGGAGCCATAGATCAGGCCTCCTCATCCACTGCCCTGATTTGATATCATTTATCTCATTTACCTGAAGGTCTACTGACACCATTCTGACAGTGCAATGAGGATTTACTTTTGTGCAATTAGCAGTTGCAAGTCCTTTTACCTTGCTTTGTTGGTGTAACAGGTTATGAATACAAATCAGGTTCTGACTCCTTATTTTTAAAATAGCCATATTGACAATAATTGCCATATTATTAATAGTATGATTTGGTTTGGCTCCCACCATATCTACTGGAATTTTACAGCAAATTATTGTCTAGAAGTAGAAGGCTCAAACAGTAAACATGTAACAAGGAAAATGTCCTCACTAGAACTATGTCCGAGAGTTAATTAAATTGATCACTTTTTTTAAAAGGGGACTAGCTTTCCCATTTAGGCAAGCACTCTGAGAGTTAGGCACCAGACATTCATTTTAATTTTACATATGGCGTTAATCTACAAAGAGTCATGTGTTGATTTATATCCAGACCTTCAAAAAAGGCTATCTAATGGTCTACATGTGATTATATTTCCGTTGCCTCTTGCAATGTCTGAAGACAGTAACATCTCTTTTTGGTATAGAAATACGTTCATACAATAGTTCAGTCTTTTAACTCTGGCTTAAAAAGCTAAATGTTTCTCTGCCTGGCAGTTCCTCTGTCTCTTAAAATACTGTGAAAAATGTAGCTTTTAAGCAGTTCTTTAAACTTGTGCTATTGTTGTTGTTGTTGTTGTTGTTGTTGTTATTATTATTATTATTATTTTAAAAGGATTTGAGATAAACTTACTAGTCTGCCTTTATGTGGCCTTTTCCTTCTGGGTCGAAAATCTTAAAAGCGTTCAGAATGGTTTCTTCTGGGTCCGTGCCTGAAATTAATGAAATACAATTTAGAAGCCTGGATGTATTTCTATAGCTGCTGAATACTTGCTAAGTAATTGCATTCACTTGAAAACAGTGCAAAATGGAGAATTCTGCAGTTGCAGGTTTGAAGACAAAGGTTCCTTAAGTCGGCAGCATTTGTCATGTCAGATAAACAATAGAGGTGAATAGTTCAACGCTCAGAAGCTTAAAAATAATAACTCATATCTATTCTATGTCTGCAGGAGAGAAAACTTCCAGGAACTGGTCTCCAATATCAGTACCCAGAGGATTAGTGGCTTTCAGAAATGAATTTCCCTCACTGGCTTCCTTTAATCTTGTACTATATGTTCCTTGTAAAAACACTTTTTGATGTTACTTGTTCTTCACTATATAAAGAGGTTATTTCCCTCACTAAAGGAAATGGAGCTCATCATAAAATCAGAATGCCAATGGAATGCAATGGAAACAGGGTGATCAATGTAAAATGGTGATCCGCGCTTATGTTCTGTAGTGCATTTCCACTTAAGTATCTCTTCACTAAGTGTTACTTATAGAAGCAGGATGGTTTAAAGCTCTAGACTATGGCTCCAAGATTTTGCTTCTGCTCTTAGCTGGGCCACAGACTTTTGGTATTACTTTAATTTCCCTGTTCCTCTGTTCTCAGCGGTAAAATGATAGTAATAGTCTTCCTTTTCTTCCATCCTTTATCTGTCCCATCTATTTAGACTGGAAAAAATTTGGGTCAGGGACTAGCTTTCACAGTGCCTTAATCTTGGCTGAGGTTTCTGACTATTCTGTAATACTGCAGATTTTCAGTGCACTCACAGTCAGTTTCAAGCCACACCAAAGGATATGCTATATACTCTTTTTCTGACTATTCCCCAGTATTTCAAAATATTACAGTAGTACGTATTAAACAAATCATTATTTATAACTGTAGGAAACCAAATTGACAAGCAGATAGACTGACCCATGGACAAATGAAGTTACTTGGGATGCTGAAATGTTGAAAGTGTGATTAAAAAAAGAATTGCATTTCAAAGTTTGGCAGAGAGAGAACCAGAATAGAACCCAGTCAAGGTTCCCTGCTCTAATGACTACATACACTCCTGATGCCTTCTTAGTTTTCTTTGTTTAAACAGTTTCACAAGGATTAGAAGTAGTATCTTAGTGGATATAATAATGAATAAACCTAAGGGTATATGGTCTCCTTCTTGTCACGTGTATTTTTTTGCCAAGCTGTAGGTAATATATTCAAACTGCAATGAATATATGATCAATACAAAGACCATTGGTATTTAATGAGTGTTTTGATTGTCCCATGAACAGAAACATCTTCCAGCTCTGAGGAAAGGTCTGCATTTTAAGTAGTCACCACTGTGTGGGGGATTTTTTTTCCTTACTGTGTTTTACATTTTCTACTCTGTTATATCCTTGGACTTTGGCTTTGAAGAGAAGCGATGCAGCAGGCATTCTTTATTGATTAGCTGGTAAATAAAGTGGTTTCTTTGATGTGCGGCATCTCTGTTTTCTGTACAAATTGTATTATTCTGACTCCCTGTAGAAACAGCTCCATGTGGTTGGCATTAACATAAACCGAGTTTTGTTAGCTGTTCATCTGGCATCATAATCTCAATATACAAAGCTAAAGCTCATCCTCAAAATCCCAGCTTCCCCTTTATGACAGAAATCAATTATAGCACAACAAATTTTACTTAGAAAGCACCTTTCACCAAATTCTCTGAGTGGTACTTAACTAATAAAGAGTGTTGCAAAATTGCCATATCCACTTCCTCTAGCCCTTTCTCCCTTTCTAATTGCACTACAAAGGCTCTTCATCCCAATTAGTTTTGATTGGGAATGTGCAGTCTTTTGGCTCTGCTTCCTTTGCATGACAAACCCAACCAGAAGGGCATGACAAGCACAGCTGTGATTTTCCCTTCACCAAATGGAAATTAAAAAAAACCCTCCTCCTCTGCTAGTAGCCAACAGGAAACCTGCAGACAAGAGGGGTACACTTTACCATTCACCTTCCTGTGCTGGCTCTGGTTTTAGGCCACATAGTTGGCAGGGCCAGACTCTTTGCCAGCTCTAGCAATCGTAAGAGGCAACAGGGAAGGGGGCAAAGGAAGAAGAGCTCATTTCCATGCTCTGTGTGATCATAAGCATCACAAATAGACAGGAATGGGTAGCAGGGCACCCCACAAGAAATAGTAACATAACCCAGAAGGAAGATTATGCAGAAGGGCACTACCTACTCTGCAAGATGACATCTGGAACATAAAGGTGGAGGTACCACTGTGATCAAGACAGATCGATGTCTGGGTAATAAAATCCCCTCCTCAGAGTCAGTGTACAGCCTCCTCCATCACCTCTTATGCTTCCCAGATATGCTGTGCTCCTTAGCAATAGTGTGTTTCTTTGAGGACTAGCTACATTAATTCTCTCTTTCAGACCTCTCTACTTTCTATTCCAAGCATAGAAAGCCCTTCACTGAAATTGTGCTCAGCAATATAAAGTCAGAGTCCAGCAGCAATACAATACACATTTTTAAGAAGATGGGATCAGATTTTTCCATTTTTCTGTTCATTAGTTATTTTAACAAACTTCTGGAATGTGCTTGGCTAAGGCAAACCTTGCTTTGAAGATCAAGGCTTTCACCTACCTCTAATGCATCTAGGAAGACGACTAGAGGTTTCTCTTGGCCTCACAATCCCTCTCTTGCAGTTTCTAGTCATTAACAGTATAAGAGATGTGACTAAATTACTAGCTCCCACAACAAATTTAGTACCCACATTTTCTGAACTCCCTGCAGTGATCCCTATGTATTCTGTGGCAATGGGCAGAATCTCTCTCCCTTATCATTGTAAATCCACTGAGATTAAATTACTTCAATTTATTCACTCCATTAAGAGTTATTCATTGAAATCTTCATCCAATGGCAAAACGACTATTGACCTCAAGTGAAACCAAGGCTGGGCCTACTGGGTTGCAACTAATACAGAAAATGAGGAAAGGCCATGTTGCTCCTTCATGCCCTGTAACTGCAAGAATGATGCAGAGGTCATGTCTGCATAATGAGCCAAAGGAGTGCAGAAAGTTTTTTTGTAGAAATGCTGAAAATACTTTTAAACCAACTAACACTGGGAGTGATACCACTGTAGCATGAGCAACAGGAACCTACTGACGGCAAATAACACATCTGCACTGTGCTCTAGGCTGCCATGATTTCATTACTTTCTGGACCTCAACTTACCACTTTCATGTTAGCTTATGTAAACTGAAATCACATCTTTGAATTGTCTTCTGGACCGTCCCTTAGCCTTTTCATACTTCAGCTGTCTGCAAAAATGGAGATCACTCCTTGCCTTTAAGCATTGTTCTGTGGATACATTATTATAATTTGCAAGGTGCTGAGATATTTCAGTGCTGAGGATCTTTGACAGATACCTCTCCAACGCCCCAAAGGTACTTACCTTTCAGCTTTTCCCCAAACATAGTAAGGAAGACAGTGAAGTTAATAGGACCTGGCGCCTCCTTCACCATGTCTTCAAGCTCTTCATTCTTGACATTCAGACGACCTGCAGCAGAGATCATTTTTCATAATAAATCACAAATTGTGTTTCAAAAATGATTCCCATTCATCTCCTCCCACTGGGGAGCTCAGGGCTCTGTGCAACTTTGCTAATAACATGGTAGAACACAACTCCAGAATACCCTAGTGTAAAACAAATTGACAGAGCTGGCTCTAAGATCAAAGGGTGACTGAAGGAGTAAGAAGGATAAATAATAGGGATGTGGCCAGCAGTGGACGAAAGATGGGGCATTTCCAAATAAATTGTTTTTCTTTTTTGTTTTTTTTTACCCCAGGTGAAATACAGGCCCCACTGATATTAATATAGCAGAGTTCAAAGTGACTGAAGTGAATCCAAGGTCTCAGTCTTTGCCCTCCTGTATGTTGAGATGCCTTTCTGAGTAGAGGGCAGAGGGATGAGTTGAGTAGTCATATCCCTTCCCCATCCTTGTGCAGTCCTATCCCTTCCCCATCCTCTTACAGTCCCATTGATGAGAATTTAGACCCTGGCAACCCTACTCAAAATGAGCGGTAATTTGCTGTGACTGAACTTTATAGGCATTGAAGGGCTTCGCTGAACAGGAAAGATACCAGAACTTGGCCTTAAGAAATAAATATTTCAGGGTAACAGTAGCTACAGGCCAAAGTTTGCAAACCTCATTGTCACAATAAAGAGTTCAGGAGCTTCTGCTCTTTGCACTGACTCTGCTGGCGTCTGATTCCACCCCAGGGAGCACTAAAGATTCTTATCAAACTCTTTTTAATAAGATCCAGATGGCAAAAACCCAAATGCCTACATTACTGTTCAAGCCTCCAATGTTGCAACAAGGATACAACTCCAGGTTTGGGATCATGAACATTTTGATTTTTCCTTTCCTTGGGAAGATTTTCTTTAATCTGCTTGATATTATCAGGATTGTTATGCATGTGGAATGGACAATACCTAATCTCATAACAGGCACATTCCACCCCGCATAAATGCACAACAGCACAGAACCTCACATGAAGTCTTCCTACTTTTGTGTGGGCAGAGGGGCAGCTAGCTAGTCCATGACAACATTAATTGGTAGATATTGCATGGCTCCTAGATGAAAAAGGTGCAGCCTGTGAAGCCTGGATTCAGAGGCAAATCAGAAATGCCTGGCATGGACCCCTGCTTGGGTGGGCTTTTTGTGAAATAGTTGCAGGGGAGGGATCAGTGCCTTTGGAGAGTTGCCAGCTGCACAGCTCTGTTGCACCCGCCAGTGAGTCCCAGAGAGACCTTCATTTCACTTCTGAAAGAGGCGGCTCGGGAGACTTTCCAGCTGGAGCTATGTACTAAGATAGCAAATACCATAAGATAAAGGTGGAAGATCAAACTGAGCAGGTTTCCTTTTGCCTCCTGTGTATCTCATTACTTCCCCCAGTGTAATTCTAATACAAACTTTTCTTACGTGCTTGAAATTTAAGCTGCATTTCTTTTAAGTATTTAATTATTACTACCAGTTTACCTAGTGCAGCAAATGTGTCTCTCAAGTCTGCTTTGTCAATAAAGCCGTCCCTGTTCTGATCCATGATGGTAAAAGCCTGTTGGAAGAAAAAGGAAAATTAATTGCCATTGCGATGTTACACTGGACAGTGCTACAATCACAGATACCAGTTCAGGGGGGTATTATATTCATGCTGTAAAGAGGAATATTTAACTTCCTTTGATTCATCCATATCATGCCACATCGTTGCACTTTCCTCACTTTCAACACATTACTGTATCTTGGCAAGGGGCTTAATTAAACCCACCCAAACTTCTTCTTACTAAATTAATGCTCAGTGCAGTGTGTAGCTGGGCTGAAGCCAATGCTGGCGGCTCCAGCCATTCAGGCCTTAACCCATAAAAGTTGGAATTAGGGAGGCTTTAGTTAGGGAGGATTTATTCAGTGGTTACTCTGTGTGTTTTGTACCTTTCCCATACCTCCTTCCTTTGTGCAGCTATCATATTCTGTAGAACATGTAATTACTGTAGATCAAGCTAAAGTCAATTTCTTCTGGGCCTCAGAATGATCCTTTGTAAAGAGATAGCTGAATCTATCAGCTACATTACGAAGAAATGTAGCTTTCTTTGTATTATTTATTCAAAGTTAGTTTCCCTCTCTAATAAATTGTATCCTTCAGACTGTACTCTGTGCTCTGACTGACCTTGATGTGTTGACCTTAAATACTTCTTGTCAGGCAAAATTTAACTTTTGCTAGAAAAAAACCAGTTATTTTTCTGTTTTCAGCCAGAATTGATGTTCTCTAACCATTATTTACCAAGCCAGCTAACTGCCTATCTATCTATTTACCTATTTACATGTCTGTCTATTCACTGCCATCACACTTAATGTTTCATTGATTTTGAAGGATTTTAATGACTTGAAATTCCCCTGATCATACTGTGGGGAATATTAGCAGAACCAGGCATGTCTCTGAAGCTGGTTATCTGTCTGACATGCACATCAATATGAGGGTATATCTTTACAATGACCAGGAATTATTCTTACTTCAGTATTATTATGAAAGACAATGTTCTCCTGAGAATACAGCTAGTCCATTGCAGCTACAGTAACTTGCAAAGTTTTAAAGTCTACTGCTCTACAGGGTGCACTTCTTTCCATGATCGTATTATATCAACATATCTTCATGTAGTTTTACCTCCAGTTTCTTACAAAGCCCCACTGCTCACATTCCAGTTTGCCCATGTGATTACTTGCAGCATGCATGTTCATAACCCTTAATTTACCTGCCAAACCATCACCTAATAAAAAATTAAGCCCAACTCTTTAGAATTGCTTTCCGTCCTTTTGGGGGGGCTTGCTTTAAATGGTGATCCCCACAATTTGGAAGCAAAACAGAAGAAAATATGAAGAGCAAAGCAGAGCCCAGCAAGCTCATAGAAGATGGGAAGAGCCTTAGGTATGTATTGTAATGGGTGAACTTAAAATAACGTAATAACAGCAATGCTGAAACATTTTCTGGTGAGCTGGTTGAAATCTCTAGATAAAAACGTTCTCATCAAACCCAGCTTTTCAGAAATACTTGTCCCAGGTATGCAGTTTTTGGACACAACGTGGTCTTGGTTTTCACTGGACCTCTCCACTGCCTTATGCTTCTGCCATTATTCTGCCACCATCCTCCCAGAAATGCTCCTAGTATGATCTTATTTAGAGTAGATCAAATACAGCATTCTGACCAATTCTTTTTTTTGTTGGTACATGTTCAAACAATAGCCTTTGGAGAAAATAAAATTGGAAGTTCATAAGATATGGAGAAAAGGTGGGAGAAGAGTGTTAAACGTGTTCCGATTAAGTGTGGGGAAAAGGTTAATGGTTTCAATCCATTTACCTGGGCCATATTCACAGTCCTTTGCATGGCTTTTTAGCCTCATTCACCACTGAGCTTTACTGGTGCGAATCCTCATGAAAAGTAAAGTTGAAAGCCACATGTACAAAATGAAACAGTAGCTATTTATCATATTGGAAATTGCTTTGGAGATGTAAGTTAGCAAAAAATGGGGAAAAAAATAAATAATTTTAAATTATAAACCAGTGCAAAATGTGATGGCTTCACAGACATTCTAGAATGTCCACTCAGAAAAAGAGCATAAACTCATCAAACAAATTATCTGTCTTTAACATGCTTCAGCTTTTATGCCAGCCCATTAGATTTACCTCTTCACAGGTAACTGGTCAAAGAATCTACAGTGCATGGTAATACCAAATTCTATGGGAGCTAAAAGATGCTTACTTAGTTAATCTCAACATGTTGTTTTGTTTTATTGGCATTTATGGAGAAAGTCGGTTGAGGGCTTCTTGGTATTTTTGTCTCTAGTTTGTGGGCAGTATTAGAAGGGCACAGAAGAATATTTTCTATTGCTATTGTGGAACAGTCCGCTAATTAAAGCCCTGGTTCCACAAGGCATCTCTATTCAGGATAATACTTGAGCACATAAGACTATTCTTATTTAAAATACCACTTAACTTTAAACATGTGCTCAAGTGTTTTCCTGAATCGGGGCTAAAGTGGATGAGATGAAAATTTTCTTTTATTTTGGGGCGGGGGCTTGGGGGCTTTTCCAGTAAGTCTAGAGCTTGAAACAGGAGAGAGGGAGGGAGGGACAGAAAGAAGGAAAGACAGAATGAAAGAAAGAATGAAGGAAAGAACAAACAAACACACAAGGAAAATGATATACCAGCCAAAACCACAGAGATGATTCAGAAAACAACTGTGTGTTCTATTAAAGCAGATGGAGAATTGAATAAGGATTACAAACAAAACCTATGTTATTCATTAGCAATGACAGGAGACTATAGAGAACAGCAGAATAGTGACCAACCTCTTTGAACTCCTGGATCTGGGTTTGTTCAAACATAGAGAATACATTGGAACCACCTTCTACCTTCTTCTTTGCCTTTTTTGGAGCCTATAATACAAATAAGATCAAATATATATTACTTTGTCTGTTAAGTACCCATGAAAACAAATTCCATCTTTAACAGAAGGTAAAATATATACAGTCAAGTAGTACAAGAGGATTGTGTTTTGTTATGACAAGGTTTTTAATTCAATCGTGTATATATATACACACATATATATATATAAAAGGGATAAAAAATGCTGCTTTAGTAACAGATCTCACTGAGACTTTTTGCCACTCCCTTGCTCTGGCCTGGAACCTGGCAGCTCAGATAAACAAGGACAGCTTGTCACTGTGCTGCCTTAAAAAAGATGAGGGACCCAAAGTGTGACTCTGAATATCACAGCTGGTCCACTGCTTGTTTCCCCAAGGAACTGCCTGTTCCTTGTGTAGAGTCACCTATGCCAGACCATTTGATGCAGGAGACTACTCACCCTTCTGCACTGGCTTTTCAGAGCTCTGCACTACAGGAGGAGGGATGTAAGTCTGTCTCACTTGGAGATGTAAGCTAAAATTCCCAACCTGCTCTTCTCAAGAAATACAGGCAGTTCAGGTAAGTGACTACAGGTACTCCTTCCCAGTTCCCATGCAGGGACAAGCAGCCAGACTCAAAATGAGGCCCTGCATGAAGATTCAGTTCAGGAACTACAGAGGGAAATTGTATCATTTCCTACTCATGTAGAAATGTTTAGAAGTCTGCTCTGTCTGGACCAACACTGACTGAACAGACTCTTTCTATGTGGAACACCTTCTACACTTGGAGGACAGTCTATATTCTTGCACTAACCTGTGACACTACACTACATTGCCTTAACTAGCCCATATAATTTTAATAGTCAAGATAGTAATCTTAAATAAAACAGCAGGCCTGCTTTTATCACTATTCTGTAGTCTGCAGACTGAGACAGAGAAAGATTGGGGAAAGAGCTACAATGATATCTAAGAATCTAATGCTCACGAAAAATCAGTCAGAACTAGACTTCATTATATATCTTTAAATAAGGACCCAACCAGCTTGCCTAAGACAATACAGTTCTTGTTCTGCAGTAAAGAATCAAATTTGTGATTCCTACAGATTACGGAAATGTTTAAACTGCAGCATTATCCTTACTTGGGCAGGATAATGAACTACATCACCTTTTGAGTTCCCTTCCAGACAGATATTTTTTTTCTTTATAATTTTTACTTTTAAACTTCATCATCATAGTCCCACCTGGTTCTCATGTCACAGAAAAGTAGTCTTAGTTAGTTAGGGCTATTCTGCATGAAACAGAAGGCAACTTCTACTGTCTCCTTTCATCAAAATAAAAAAGCCTGTGAAAGTTCAAATTCAATACTGATTTCAAATATCCTGAGGAGCAGAGCAGCTCAAGGAAATATTCCCACTTGACTCTTTTTGAAGTATACACTGCCTGATCAATTTAATTTGCCAGGCAGATTTCCGCACTCAGCCACCCTGGTCTAGATCCCAGGTTGAAAATTAGGGCTATAGTAGACACTCACCCACATACCACACTCCAGACCTGTCAAGCTCCAATCAGCTAATGCAAAACACTAAAATCTGGAAATAGGAATGGAAATTAAAAGAAAAATGTATTTGTAGTGAGGATAAAAATAAGGATAGAATGCCACCACAGGCATGGAAAAAAAGTGAATAAGTGGAAGGTTTAATGAATGTAGAAATATTGATTTTGGAATAAACAGATTCCCTTCTCCTCCTACAAATGAAATAAGTGTTATTTTGAGCAGTAATGGGCAATATTCCATGTAACGTGAGGTGCCTGGTGGAGGCTTTCAACACTTCCAGATTGAATGGAAATATTAAGAACAATCCTACGTATTTATGTGTATTTGTTCCCCGAGGTAAAAAGAAAGCAGATGTTACCCAGCGGAATGTATTGCAAGCTGTCTGGGGGAACTGACCACAGGGCACAAGGCTGGCCTCAGCGTTTTTGGATGGGGTAGTAGAACTGGTTCTCCTGTGCTTGTGTAGCTGGTATTTATGAAGACAAAACATGTTTTACCATTCTCATGCTCTGCTCTGCTGTGACTAAATACAGCATCCATATTCAGCATGATAAATATTCCCTATGCTAGCAAACAATCTGCATCTTTTTGAGCTAGCACCACAAGGAAGGACAGTGGGCTCCAGCTCCAGGTTTTATTAATGTTAAATGCCAAACACTGGCAATACCTCCATTATTTCTCAGTTTAATTGTGTCTCTGTGCTGTAAGGCTTTAAGCAAGGATTGTAGTTATAAGAAAGGATCAGATAAACCCAAAAGCTGTGGCTCAGTATCTATTAGAAACAGACCAGCAACACAAAAAACACCCAGATGTTTCTTTACATTAGTGAAGTCCTATTCATGGCAAAAACATTGAAGACTAGTTATCCAGAGAACAATCACCATACTAAGAGAAATTCATCCCAGTGTGATATTTGTTCAATGTTACTCTCTGGTTAGTCATCTCCAGGGATGATAAAGGAGATCAGTGCCCATGTGGCTCAATCTATCTCTAGTTTTTCTGGTGAAGCTCTGGGTGTGGATCCTATTTATGATCTGCTCACTTGTGGAATGGGGCTGAGACCACCAATACATTTCACAGGGGCCAATGAACAGCTGTTGGATGGGAATGGCTTTCCATCACCAGTTTCAAGCTAAGTCTTTTGGTATCAAATGTACAGAGCATCCTGGATTATCAGTCTCTTGGTTTTGCGTATGCAGTATTGGGACCATAATTTATCTGCTCTGAAAGGCTAGGAAATTCATAATCACAGAAAGAAACTGCACCTGGTTTTTGCATGACTAGTGGGTAGGCAGGGATTATGAAGAGGAAGGCTAAGAGATAAGTAGGTGGGTCAGGAACAGAACACAGTACATTGTCAGTCTTTCTGGTAGGTGAGTCAAATTACAAGGCAGCTCTAGGAGTATAGAAATAGGTCTGTGCTGCTGTCTGACAACTCCAGACACTCCAGAATTTTTTGATTAATAGAATCAGGATTCTGAGTCTGGAGTACCTCTCTGAAAGAATGGCATGGTAAATAGAGCAACACAGAACTAAGCAAACATACAGTTTCTAAACTGTCAAGGATTTAGTAGGTGACCTACAGAGGAGCAAGTGAGTGACTGACACATCACTTCTGTCTGCCTTGATTTCCCCATTTGTAAAATGCAAAGTGCACTGAGCTACACTTTGGAAAGATAGCTGCTCTATCTTTGCAGCATGTGCTTTGAGACTGACATACAAAATGTGCCAGATGAGAAATTGAAGAGCTGAGGGTCCCCTGGGCTCAGATTCCGAGGCCTCAATAGCACAGCAGTGGGAAGAATGTTGCAACAACTGAACAAGCCTATTAATATTCCTGCCTGAGTGTATTAATCATCCCATTGTGAAGAAAACAACACTTCACTTTAGAAGAGAAACCACAGGCTTGTCGCATATCACTCATTTGTCTTACTAGTGTTAGCACTCTCTCAATTAGCCTGGATTTTAAAGGGTCTTTTTTTTTTTTTCTCCTTAGTTTGGTTTTTGTTTGTTTTAGAAGCTTTAAATGAAAAAATGGAGCCAACAAATCTAGTCCCAAGAAAACACTATTGAACCAGGCATTTGCTTTGAGCTGAGTTTCCTTCATCTGATGGGATGAGGGAGATCCCTCATCCCCACTGATGTTCTTTATATTTCTCCTGTCTGGCAGTGTCAGGGAGCCAGAGAGAACAAGGACAGTGCAGTGACACAGGCAGACAGAGACGAGTGTACGCTGCCTTTGCCTCTCTGGATATAAGAATAGGGATTCGGTTTTTTGTATTTTGTGGAGGGGAGTATATGTTCAAGTGAATCAGAGTGAAGAAATCTCTGATTTTAGGGTGACCTAAAAGAAAAGGGGGCAGGGAATCAGTTTATAACTCTACAAGCAAAGGAGGAAGGAGGTGAGAATACTTGGTTGTTACTTCAGAACGTGAGGCATTGTTTACCGTGATAAACTCATAGAAGGCTGGTGCTAGAGCAGGTTCATGACACCAGAGATACAAAGGAAGTGACGCTGAACTATTGCAGAACTTCCTCATCTCAGCCCCTCAATGAATTTTGCGGACAACCCAGACAAATATGGTAAAAGACAAGCTGCTGCAAGACAAACAAAGGTACATCTCCATAACTGACACTACTCTGCACTGACTGCTCAGGTGCACACTTCTGTGCTTCAGGAAGTATGACGTAACCGACCTCTACTTAGCGTTTTCTACAGAGCAAGAACGTCTCCACAGGCAGTCAGGAAAAATGGGCAGCACTGCCAGAAGCCACATTTTCAGTTTGGTTTGGGGTTCCCTGTTTGGTCCACCGTCCCTTAATCACTCAGAAAATACTCTAAATAACTAAACATGACACAATTTGATATTCCTAACAAGGAGGTGTTCATTCAGCCCAGAGCAAACTAGACATAAGATACTACCAGCTTTAAATTGCACTGTTCACATTTCATACTTCCTTCCTCTGCAACTACATCTGTGACTACAGAAAAGACAGAATCATCCATCATCTCGCTCACATTCTGTCCCCTACTGTGATCCACAGTATGATGTTAACTCTGAGTTACTATTACTTTTTCATCCATCATACTCTCTCCTTGTTTTTCATCCACTCTGGGATCTCAGTGCTGACATTTCCTGTCTTTGAATTTTCATTATCATTGAATCCAGCTTCTGAATCAAAAGTTACATCTCAGGCTGTCCTGGTTTCGGCTGGGATAGAGTTAATTTTCTTCCTAGCAGCAGGCATAGTGCTGTGTTTTGGATTTAGTAGGAGAAGAATGTTGATAACATGCTGATGTTTTTAGTTGTTGCTGAGTACTGCTTATGCTAGTCAAGGACTTTTTCAGCTTCCCATGCTCTGCCAGGCGCACAAGAAACTGGGAGGGGGCACAGCCAGAATAGTTGATCCAAACTGACCAAAGGGCTATTCCATACCGTGTAACGTCATGCTCAGTATATAAACTGGGGGGGGGTGGCCGGGGAGCAGCTATCGCTGCTCGGGAACTGTCTGGGTATCGGTCAGTGGGTGGTGAGCAATTGCATTGTGCATCACTTGCTTCATGTATCATTATTATTATTATCATTATTATACTGTTACTATTATCATTACTATTTTACTTTATTTCAATTATTAAACTGTTCTTATCTCAACCCAGGAGTGTTTCTCACTCTTACTCCTCCGATTCTCTCCCCCATCCCATCGGGGTAGGGGGAGTGAGCGAGCGGCTGCGTGGTGCTTAGTTGCTGGCTGGGGCTAAACCACGACACAGGCCCATCCAAGGGATTTTTGCAGCACTGGACAGGATTTTTGTTGATTATTGTCTCACAAATTTACTCTGCTGAGACGATTTACACTGCACCTGCACCAAAGATCCCAGCTATGGACAAGCCATCCTTTTTTAGCATGCTTTAGGTCCTTTTCATGGCAGGTGAACAGCATAGGGCCAACCCGAGTGCATGCCTTTCAGGGAACAGTCTAGAGGAGTAAGCAACATAAACTGCTCTAAGGGCACTATTTGCATTTCAAACAGGCAACAGCCTCAGATCATTCAAATAAAACCCCACGTTATCAGAACTGAGAAACAGAAGATCTTTTTATTACCTACTCTGCACTCAAAAACAGATCCCTCCCTTCTCATCCTCACTCCATTTTATATGTAGTCCCAGCCTCCCACACACCCACACAGGCACACACACCTTTGATCCCTGCTAGATGCAAAAATCTGTTGGACTGCATCCTCCTTGCTTCACACTCCCGTACACTAAAGCATTCTCCTTTGCCCCACATAAAATCCCTTCCCAATCACAGTCTCCTTGTTTCTCTTGCACAGATATACAGAGAGAATGTATTATCTCCCAAAACTTATCTCAGAACAGCAGATAACCTCTTCAATCTCAGACTGCTCAACCTCTATGACCCAAAATTCACCAGCTGCTTTCTCCACCCAACAGAATTTCTTCTCTGGCATATACATGTCCTCCTCCTCCTTGTAAACAGATGAACAGTCCCTCTCTACCTACAGTCCTCTATGCTCACACACACACACATACGTACACACACATGCATGTGCAGTTGCATACACAAACACTTCAACAGTTAAACAACTGGCCGCATTTTCAGCGAGTGAAATCAGCATTGCTCCACTGAGGTCAGTACTTGTTTCAGTACAGGTGGTACATTCCAGACAGTTAAGCAGGCTGCAAAACACATTCGATCAGAATGCAATCTATTTTTGGGTACGCAGTTCCCTTCAGCACACAGAATTTGCTACGAGGTGTCACTTGAACTGAATAAACACAGGAATCTTTTGGGAATATGAAAAAGGCTTCCTTCTCCTTTCTTCCGCCTCTCTTCCCTTCTCTCCATCAGCACAGAGCATGCAGGGAGACATCACAGACCCAACTTCACTGGAATTCCCTGGAATTAACGGAGAGCCGTAGACAGTTCTCAGAACTCGATTCCACAGCACTTGTGTGGTCTGCTCTTGTTAGAAAAATTATCTCCCTGAACCTTGCCTCTCTCACTCTCATCAGCCCTGTATGTCAGAGCCTAGTAGCACTGGCTGACTTGTAATTATTTTTTACTATGCTGCTTTGTCTGCACTAATCCTTTGAAAGTAGCTTTACTGCACATCTGAAATATTATGATGCTATAAAACCTCTGTAATATTTATAAATCCCTTAAGACATCATAAAGAGAGAAAAAAACCTCCCCACAGAGTTCATCTAGCATAATTACATATACATTTCCCTCTGATTAATAAAAAATGATCACTTCCTTATGTAAAGATATTCTTCAGCTTTCTTTCATTAAGGCTATTTTTTTTTTTCCATTTTAAATCTGTTTCATGTGTCCCTGTTATAGTAAGGTACCTCAGAAGATATTTTCCCAAAACAAAAGGTACAATGAAAAGAACCACCACAGAGAATCATCAGCTGAACTGGGAGTGAGGAGACAGAATAGTCTGTCACTATATTTTCACATCTCCTAACTTAAGCAATTTTACTGCAGAATGTCCTGAAATATCCTCAAACATCAAGCAGCGTGGTGTGTCATTGCACTAAATAGGAGGGAAGAAAACGGGTAAATAAAATTTTGAAAAAGAGGGGAAAAAGGAAACCTAAGACCCAGCACTTGCCCCCCACCCCACAAAAGGGCTGGCTTAGACTTTAGTGAAGCTGATTAAAGGGAAACCTGTAAATCCACAACTGAAGTGGCATAATCAGCACAAGGCACTGCTCACTTCTAAAACAGTGGTGAAGAACATGATTAGTGGCTTGCATGCTCAGTGTGAAACCACTGACACTGGGCTTGCACTGACTGAAACTGCAACCTAGGTTTGTGCATGGATTTTAGAAATGGCTTTGAATGTGGTTTTATCCTGCTCAGAACAGCACTTGGATCACATTCATCACCTGCTTAAATGGAATCAGGTTTGAAATAAGCTTTGAGAAAGCTTTTCATTTACAACTCCCTCTCCAGTGCTCTCCAGAATCAAATATCCCATAGCCCCATGGGGCCATTGGGCAGCATTACTTTAAGACAGCCTGAAAAGGACCTGCAAAAAGGAGAAAAATAAGGAAAGAGAAAATCACCAGCTTTTTTTTTTTTTTTAGTATTGTTGTATTCATTCCTCTGAATTTGCAGAAGGCAAAGATAGAGCCCAGTCTGCCCACTGGTCCTTAGGCAGGAGTTCTTCTTTGCTCCTTGCAATCACATCAAGTGCACCTTTGGTGCAGAGGTGGCCATTGGAGTCCAGGAGCTAAAAGGCAGCAGTAAGCAGGGCAAAAGACAAGACACAGAAATCTCTGTAGTACTTCCTACATCTCCCTGCGGTCTCAAGAACAACACAGTTACAATTGTAGAGAGATCCCTTTTCCTCACTGCCCATCACACCATTGCAGACCTTAGCACTATTTAACATCAGCTGTGCCAGCAATCACTGCCCTAGTGTACTAGTCTTAGGAAGAGATGCACGAGCTCTTCCCTTCAGCAAGTGCGTCTATGTTCCCTACCTTACTCACTTGTTAAACACATGCAGAAAAGTCCTTGGAAGTTCACAGCTCACACTATGGGATATATCTTCATTCTGGATGCAATACTAAGTATGAGATTTCACGGGGTCCAGTGTGATCATTACTGCTCTGTTTGAATTGTTAGGGTTGGAAAGAAATACAGGCGGAGATAAACAGACACACATGGGAAAGAATAAAACCTACCATACTGCTGCTGCTCCTTCCACCCCTTCTCTGCCAACTAGTCAGCCAGCAAATGCAATGCCAATTGTCTCTTTATATAGTGTCACCAAGGAATAAAAATACGCCTGCTCCAAGTTTAGACAATAGATGTAAGGTTGGAAAAGTGCAGTAATTGGATCCCAATACCATTCCAAGCATCTGTTCCATGCACGGCTTTTGCTTTCACAGAAATAATGCAGTAGATAAGTAGAGTAGGCAGTTGGGATGCAATTGTACAGCACTCAAAATAAGCTAGAGCTGAAGGGGCTTTCCCATGTACTTCTAAATAACTAACACAGGGCATGCACTAAAAAGATTTTAAGTGGACATGGCATCCTGAAAAAGCAGAAAGAGAAACACGCTCCTTGAGAAAATGCAGAGGAAACTAGCAATAGATCTGGGCCACTGAGATGTCTGGTAGCTCCAGAGCCTGGTGCATGCATTCAGAACTCCAGAAAAAATGACTGAGGTTCTGCATAGGTGCATCTATAACTGGGAGGTATGCTGGAAAAGCACGGCTCTGCAGATGGCAATAAAGTGACTCAGATCAGGTCTGTTTTTCCCAAATCTATCGCACATGCCTGAAGTCCAGGGGCCAGGTCTCAAGGCACTGCAAACTGATGGACACTCATAGACTTCAAAGTACAAAAAAAGAGATATTAGTAATGAATTTGGTGTTCAGAGCAGGAGAAAAGAGAAGGCAGCATAGGAACCACAAGGGCTGTGTCTCCCGGGGAATGCTCATGGACATTAATGCATACACGTTCCATCCGATTCATAAATCATGTTCTGCCTTATCACGACGGGCCAAAACATTAACCTGTACAAAATGGCATAATTCCACAGACATGAAATCATATTTCCTAAAGGTCTAATCTGTGTCTGTGAGAGTATCTATACAGGACAACTGGTGCATTAAAAACAGCAGCAACAATGGGTTTTTCAGGAACATACAGTAGCATCTGAAATACTTCTCTACATCAGAACCTTGAGTCACAAAAGTGCTTAACCAACCAACTGAACTTTGAGACAGACATACATTTAAGTATCTAGTTGAATAAGGACCTTGTTCTTTCTCCCAGTCCAGCCCCTTGCAGTGCTGTCATCTCTAATCTTAGACTTGACTGCATGCTCTTCAGGGCAAGGACTGTTTTAGCTGTTGTGAAGTACCTTGAACACCTACAGGGATAATTAAGTAATAAATAAGCATAATAGAATTAATCTGGCTTTAGCAAAATTGTCGTGGGCACAAGTTGGAAGTTAGCCCAGTGTTCATCATTCTGACTTCAGTGACATTATACCAATACCTAGTGTAACACAGGATAAAAATAGATCCCTCAGTCCATTCGCCTGCAACCACCTGGTGAGTAGCAGACCCATGTTTGTATACTAGACTGAGTTTCGTAATCCGAAAAACTCAAAGTAAGGTTTTTGAGGAAAATCTTACATCATTTCAAAGGTTCATTGCGATAAAGACTAAGCATGTTCACTGGGATAGGTCCTGATTCAGCAAAGCTGTTAAGCATCTGCTTAACTTTAAGGAAGGAATAGTCCCACTGAAATAAATTTAATAGCTCACATACTTACATTTAAGAATATAGCTACTTGTTTTGCAGGATCAGTGCTCTAATCCTAACCAGACAGGAAAATGAGCAGCAGCTTTGTCATTGAGTTCACTGGGCCCAGGATTCCATCATGTGAATTTTGTGTCCTTTTTTGGAAGAATACTTATCTTTTCATCCAGCCATTTCATGAGTTTCTCCTAACAGCTCTGTTAACAGATGCTTTGTACTGTTTCTTTGGGAGTTTTGTTTTCTCCTATCTTGTGTATCATCAATCATCATTATTATCATCAATTTGCTCCTTAGTTTTCTAGCTTGATCTGCAGGCATTTTCCAATAGTGCATGTATTTTCTACATTGATCTTTGTCTTTTCACAGAATTTCTATATTAAATGAATTATTCCAAGCTGGTTTTAAATGACATGACATGTTAGGATAAAACCCACACAATACTGTGTGTTTGTAATGCACATGTCCTGAGAGACCAGAACCCTCTCTGCTTAGTCTATAAAACAAATCCACAGAGGAATTAAGGGAGACATACATCTTGGCTTTAAAGGTCTGCTTGCTTCTGCAACTGCCTCCAAATTATAGAAAGGCTCCAGACTGGAGAGGGGAGGGAGGAAAGGGGGGAAAAACATAAGGACTGAAAGAGAAAGGCTTGAATTTAATTGCCCTAAAAATTTCAATCATTCAATCTGGTAATTAGAGAGCTGGCTGATTCAGAAGGCAATTTCATTTGAAAAAAAAAAAAAAAAAGAACCCAACAAGATAATTGATGCTAAGCGACTATTTTACCTGAAATATTAAATACCAAACTTAAGTCTGCCTCCAGGGCCCTTTCTGCTACCCCTTTTTGATCTGTCTTTCTACTTCTTTGTATTTTGCTCTCACATGACTCAACAGAACAGGACACTCCTTCAGAGAATCAGATTGTCACAGGACAGGTTTATTTGAACTCTCTGTGCTGTGAAGGAGACAACATAATGATTTATTAGTAAAGAAAATAATAATAGGAAGTCTCCTGAGATCCAGCCTGGCTGAAAATCTCAGTGAGATTTTCCAGTGTTGAGTCTCCATGTCTCTCTGGCCGTAAGCAAGGTTTGATGTCCTACCAAGGGTAACAGCTTTCTTTATGAGCTTAACAACCCTTACCAGAATGTTTCATATTTAATTCTGGACTCTCTGATGCTGAAAAATGATACTTAAAGGTAGATCTCTGCACTCATGCAGAGCACTGTGGATGTCAGTGTCACAGGGGTCTGATTGCACAGATCTCTTTGCAGGATGGAGAGCGGAGCTGGTTTATTGCACACTGTTCAGAAGAAGTAACTGGTAATTCTCTAATATTTAATAGCCTAATGAACAAGGATAGCATCTCATACACATCTTAAAGGAATGTTGCATGCCTGGAAATTAAGTAGATACTAATTTATACTATATTTATGATGGAGAAATGATGAAGAAAATACATGTGACACACACTGGATTCTGGTATCATGTGCTGTTCTAACTGCTCAACCATGTGCCTTTTTCACGCAAAATGCTACAGTCTATTCCTGTTAGCAATATTAAATTTTAATATTAAAACACCTTTTAAAGTGAGTTTCCACATCTATTACTGCTCAGGAAGACCACATCAAATGTATTCAGGTGCCTTCGCAACTTCCATCTTCGAGACTGATCATGAAAATGTTTCTGATCCATACAACATCCACTATCTAAAAAGATGCAGATGACAGGACTTAGTGACAATTCTTGTAGTGAGATGGAATGCCAAATGGAATGTGGCCTCTTCTTCTCATTCAGTGGGGACAGAAAAAGCCACTAATGCTGATATATTACATAGGAAATGTATAAGAAGTACCTTTGTAAGTATTCTGGCTATGGCAGACTGAGTTTTGAGACCAACTTCATACCACAACATTACACTTCTTCTGCACACAGATAGTTTTCCTTCATGTCTTTGAGTGGCATGCTTTCAAAAAAAGAGGTATGACAGTTAATCATACTTTGGAACTGAAACCTTCCACATCCTGCCAATAGGTCAGGACAATCCCCAAACCTTTAGAAGAGTTGTATCCCAGCCTTCATACCGAAGGACTACACTTTCTATGCACTGACCAGGCTTGATCTCTATGTCCAACATGTAATTTGGTGCTGAGGGTAAAGACAAGGCCAGTCCCTGTCTAAAAATAGGACTCATGTGAGCCCCATCCTGGCACTCTGCACTCTGGCAAGATGTACCTTGTGGAATTGCCAACTACTACTGTTCTCTGGCCATGTCATCTGTTTTCTCATTGTTATGTGGTCCTAACATCCTCTACGTCACAGATGTTCATTTATTCTACAGGTGGGGAACAGATATATGCAGTGATTTATCCAAATGTAAATAGGACTTAAAAGCAAAGCAGCAAACTGAAGCTTTGTCTTGCAAGTCCTGGCAGGCATGCAAAGCATGGATCAGGAGTATACAGCAAGCGCCTCTCAAGTAGGTACTAAAGTGAGAATACCAGCTGATACCAGCAAAGCCACCAGCAAGAACTACCAAGCTGAGGTGGATTTCAAGCCCTCCAGAGGGAATTAGCAACTTCCCTTGAACTACCCACTTTTTCTTGATCACCTTAAATTAATGAGGAGATACCCTTCCTTTCAGAGCCATGATGATTCCCTTTTCCTTTCTCCCTACAGCAGTTTTCTTAGCAGCTGATTAAATTCTTGATACAGAGGACAGGTTACACAGTGCAGCTCAGGAAGCCCATTGGCTAAGCTTGGTCTGTTTGTTGTGCTTGTTTTGGCTGGGATAGAGTTAATTTTCTTCATAGGAGCTAGTATGGGGCTATGGTTTGGATTTGTGCTGGAAACAGTGTTGATAATACAGGGATGTTTTCATTATTGCTGAGCAGTGCTTACACAGAGTCAAGGCCTTTTCTGCTTCTCACCCCACCCCACCAGCGAGCAGGCTGGGGGTGCACAAGAAGCTGGGAGGGGACGCAGCTGGGACAGCTGGCCCCAACTGACCCAAGGGATATTCCATACCATGGGACATCATGCTCAGCATATAAAGCTGGGGGAAGGAGAAGGAAGTGGGGGATGTTCAGAGTGATGGCCTTTGTCTTCCCAAGTCACTATTACACATGATGGAGCCCCACTTTCCCGGAGATGGCTGAACACCTGCCTGCCAATGGGAAGTACTGAATGAATTCCTTGGTTTGCTTTGCTTACGTGCGTGGCTTTTGCTTTACCTATTAAACTGTCTTTGTCCCAACCCATGAGTTTTCTCACTTTTACTCTTCTGATTCTCTCCCCCAACCCATCTTGGGGGGAATGAGCAAGCGGCTGTGTGGGGCTTAGTTGCTGGCTGGGGTTAAACCACAACACTACTGTATTTTGGAGCCTGGCAATAAGGCGAGTCTCAGGCAAGTTAGTCTTATGTTCACTGTTTATGGAGCTCCTACAGTTCAGGTGCAGAAAAGAAAGAGCTATTACACATACCTCTGCAGAATTTTAAATAAATTAAACACGCAAATCCCACTGAGAATCTTCTGTCTCTGTTGAGTGGAGGCACATACACCTATTTGGAAACTGCCAGGGCTGCTGTAACCG